AATTGTCAATGATTAATGGTTATAAGCAAAAATAAAGGTGCTAGACATCTAAGGTCATGTAGCGCTATTGGAAGGTAGAGTAAAGAGTAGTGAAGGTCGGTTGAATTAGTAGTTAGTTGCTATACATCAACGATCTTGAGTGATATTGGAAAAGTTAAAGATGGGTAAAGGAGTTGATAAATGATAGGATTACGGAGGATTAGGTCAAGTGAAGGACATGTATGCGTCTGAGGAAGGAAAACAGGTTATCGAAGCAGATTCCATAAGGATGTCTGATAGGTTGGGAGGTCGGTGAAGGGAGGATAAGAAAGACATTGCATAGGGGGCGGATTAGAACGTGACATCAGATAGGAGTGTGTCAGACGGGTGAGGTCAATACTTAATCGGGCGAGAGCCGTCTCCCAACGTCTGTTCCGATGAAATGGAGCTACCCAAGAGGAGATTGATAGCTTTACAGTATGTAATTTATTAGGGCGGAGACATGATCCGAAATATTGCCATCTGATAGAAAGGAAGGTCTTAAAGTGGGGGTAACAACCCGTGGCTGGAATACGTGAGAAACGTGGTAGTGATGTGGATATAAAGGCTGAGTGTGCTAGGGTATCTGCTTGTTCCTTACCAACATGGCTAGGCACCCTGCAAAATCTGATAGATTTATGGCGTGTGGACAGGTAGCTCATCTAGTTCTGAATCATACAGATAAGGGGACTGGTCGAGTGCATAGACTTTATGAGAGATAATGAGTTACGTGAGTCAGTAAAAATAATGAAAGAGGGAGAACAGGAAGAGCAAATATTGGGGTAAGGTGTAAGCCATGGAGGAACGGATGAACAGAAAACGGAAGAGGTCGGAGATGGGGAGAGGGAGAATGGGAGGAGGGTATCCATGCGAATGGAGAAAGGAATAAGTAAAAGTGGAGAAGAAGCAAAGGCAGGAAGTAGGAATCGTGGGATAGCTAGTTTTATGAGGTAAAATAGGTGGAATCAAGCATGGCATCTGAGAGAGAGAAGGGTCTGGCGTCGAGAGAGAGAGATGGCATGCCTGATACAGAGTACAGGCTCTCAACAGGAGAGGAGCGGAAGGCGCCTAGGGTTAAGCGAAGGTCGTAGTGGTGTATTAAAAAAAAACAGTCAAAGAGTAAATGGGTGAATCATGGGGAGGGTTAATGGTTAATGGTTAAAAGCAAAATAAATGTGCTAGACATCTAAGGTCATGTAGCACTATAGTAAGTGTTAGTAAATGGTGGTTAAGTTAGTGATTAGTTGCCAAAGCTGGGCAAAGGAATTGGTGAGTGAATGGGTTAAGGGCAGGTGTTGTAACGTAAAGGGGTTAGATCAAGTGAGGGATATTTATGCGTTTGAGAGGAAAACAGGTTGTCGAAGCAGAATAGGTTGGGAGGTCGGTGAAGGGAGGATAGGTGGGGGGGAAGCAGAGCTACAGACTGCTTCAAAACGTGTGCATGATAATGGAATGTGTGAGACTGAAAGAGGAACATTACATAAGGAGCATAGGGGTGGATCGGATTGTGACATCAGATAGAGGTGTGTTAGACGGGTGTGGAAGGGGATGCTTGTGATATAAGGGATTCGCGTGTGTATCCAGGAGGGAGTGGAAGGGATAGAGAGGATGGTGGGAGGGTTAATGTGGGTGGGGTTGGAGTTGGGGGGGATCGGCAGTCACTTGTGTGTGGAGGGAGCAGGAGTTGTAGGATTATAAGGTTGGTGGGTGTCAGTTTTCATTAAGAAGTCTTGAATATTTTCAAGAGTTTCTTCAATGGAGTTGGTTGGGGAGTTTTGTGGGATAAAGGATTTCTTGTGAAGGGGGGAAGAGAAGATTGGTGTCTCAAGAGTAGGGGCAAAGGAAGGTGGAGGTGATTGTGTGGTAGGGGAAGAGGGGGTGGAACTTTGTTTTGTCTGTTGCGGGTAGTGCGGGAGGGAGAGGGGAAGGTCTACGGAAAGTAATTTTGGCAATGTTAGGGGTTTCTTACGATGACCTCTGGGAGGAATGGAGTAGCATTATACTGATGTCGCATCATAGTCTGTGAGACAGGCGAGTAAGTCTTCTCCACAATCTGACCAATCTTTGTCATAGATTGGGCAGTTTGCTGGGGAGATAAAAACAGTTCCAGTGCAAGTATTGAGGGTTGGATGGGGTTCTGCAAGGATAGGGTTACCATATAGATCAGTTAGTTTTGCTAATGCTAAAGCCTGGTTTTCGGATGTTACTGTGACGAGACGGGAGCGATCGGGTCGGCTACGGAAAGAGACTTTGCCTACCTGTTTTTGGAGACATTGCTGGAAGAGAAGGGTGTTGTCAGAGTAGGGAGCTGTGGGAGGGATCACGAAAAATCGGTTCCATTTGGCTGGGCTAAATAGAGTATTTAGGATTGTTGTAGAGATAGGGGTAGTAGAAGGGCGGGGGCGTATCGAAGAGGGAGTAGTGTTGAGGGAGGTAGTGTTATGGAGAGGTGGGCAATAAGGCTGTAAGGTATTAATAAGGGAGGAAGGGGTAGTTGATGTAGAAGGCTGTGGAGGTAGAGGTGTTGAGCATGATGGGAGAGTAGGAATGTCTCTAGGGGGTTGAGTGTTGACTACTGTACTAGCAGGCATTGAGTAGGGGGTAGTTGTTGCAGTGTTCAGAGCCATGGTCAAAGGAGAGCCTGGGGTCAGGGAATCGGGAGGATTTGCATCGTTGGGGCTATTTGATGAAGGGGCAAGCCTCATTGCCCCTAATAGTGGGGTTAGGTTTTCATTATTGGCCATGGTAAGCCAGGAGTATGTTGGGGAGAGAAACAGTCCACCCCTCAGGGTCCCCTTGAGGGGTAAGGGCTAGGCCTAAGCAAGGGAATACCGTGCCCATGGCTCCCTCAGGCCGTTCAGGACTGGCACAAAGTCAGCCTTTCATCCTTTCGGCACGGCTCTCACACCTTAGGAGGTGGATAGTAAAGGGATTGGTGAAGGGACAGAAATGAAAAAGTAGGAAGGGAAAAAAGACCATGCAAAATTAGTTGAGTTGAGGGCTGAGTCCCAAGGTTGGGGAGTTCCCCATCACTGGGTCCCAGTCTCTGCCTCCTAAGACCCCCCCACGACAACAACGGGCAAGGGATTGGTGGGGTTATTTCCATGATTAAAATTTCTTTAGCAGAATTAGGAATGAGAAAAACTTGTTATATTGTATTTTTTAAAAATTATTTTAAAGATAACAAGTTCTAAATTGAAATTACTGACTGTGGTAAATCATAATCATAGATAACAGACTCTTTATGTCCTATAATCTTAATTTATTATTATCATGTCATGTCTATTTACTTTATATAAAAAGTAAAATCTACAGTAGGGGGGTACAGAATAAAAATACATTTCATATATATATATATATATATATATATATATATATATATATATATATATATATATATATATATATATATATATATATATATATATATAACCATTACATACAAAACTCCCATATTCAATGTATGCATATTATCACAGAGTAAGTTCACAAGTATTGTATCTCAAACACTAAAATATCCTTACTGCATTTACAAAAAATGATGATTACATAAGGAAGTCCCTGTGTTCATCTATTTATATCCAGAGTACAAAAATAATTCCTTTAATTTTCTTATTAGCTAGTAACTTTTCTCACTATAGGAATGATATAATAGCATGTCAATACATGCAAACAACAAGCATAAAGTATTATGTAAGTATTTAAGACCACAGTGCTGGTGAAAAAGCAGATGCATCAGCAATTTCCCAATAAAACTAAAAAGAGCCATAATTTGATACAAATATAATCATGTATTATGTTAAATATATTCTACTTCACATAATGCCCTGCATAATGGAATCACATGCTTGGACAGTTAACAGGATATACTATGCCAGGTCATATAAGCAGAACCTGATTCCCACTTCCAATACTTCATAAATAGTGAAAAAAGAAGAAGAAATAAAAAAGTATCTTTGTATAAGAAGCTGTCCGTCTCTCCTAAAAAAATATATATACAAGATTCAACACCTCTAATGTACAAGTATGTGCAAAAACATATCACACACTACACACACACATATTCTCACTCCATCAGCTGACCATACAAATGACACAGTTCTTCCCTCCCGACCCTGTGAGGCCTGACACTGTTAAACGGAGGGTGCACTTGTATGCTGGTGATGGGACAGGTGGTTATGTAATCCTCCATGTTGAGGTAATCAGTTAGTTGTGGTTCAGGGTCGCGGGGTCTGGTTCGAGGCTGGACTGCTGTTGCTCTGCGAAAAGGGAAGGGGATGAAAGACTCAATAGAAGATAATGGAGAGGAAGAAGAAGAAAGAGTAAAAGGGTATGACAGAAGAGGAGATGTTCTATGTGATAGTTCATATATGCCAATTAACACTAGAAATCATCCTCTATCTCTGATTTTCTTCAATGAAAAGTATATTCGTAGATTTTTTTGTTTTTAATAAACACAATAGCACCCAAATTGTCTTAACCTTTTTAAGGAATAAATTTATATACTCAAAGCTAAATCCATTAAATTAAGAATAAAAAATATTATGAGAACAATTTTTACAAAAAGGAACTTTATATCCTCTATAAAGAAGTGATATCCATATCATTAGTTGCAATCAGTGATTGACAAATACACACAAACACATTCAATATCAAAATTAAAGTTGTCATCATGATCTTTTATCAAAACTCAAGATGTCAGTGCCCTAAATACCTCACATGGAGCTGATCTTCAAACTGGGCTGCCAATTCCTGCTCTCTGACGTCAACAGACACAAGGTCGTTGAAGATCTGCCGTGACCCAGAGATGTTCACTCGCTTTGCTCTCTAGAAATTGGGGAAAAGGGAAGGAGTGTGAGGAGCATGGATGGTTGCTTTACCTGCATTGTGGTTTAGCTTCTAGTAATAAACATAAATCAATGGGCCATATAAAAGATAAAAAGGAAGATGGAAAGGAAGAAAAAGGAAAGAGGAGGGTGGGAAAGAAAATGAAAAGAGAAGCATAACAGTAATAATAATGATAAATGATTACGATACTAACAATAATTGCTGAGATGGGAGAGGAAAAAAGTATGAAGAAAGCAAAATCAGATAAACTTATCACTGCGTAACTGATATTACCTCATCGGTCATGAATATATGTACTATCCACTTTAGTTATTTGTGAATTTTGTTGCACACAGATGGCTCCACAAGAGCTCAACCACCAAGGAGTCAATTCACAGGCCTAATATGACCTTCCCTGATTTCCCAATTCCTTCATTTTCTTCTTCTCTCATTATTATTATAATTGATAATGTTTAATGGAGCTTCCCAAATGATTCAGTAAAAGCTACAACAAGGCTCACAAAAAAGAAGGAAACAATTACAGAATCACTAATCTGCAAAACATCTGATAACCAACCTGCTTCTTAACCCTGGCTGCTGTGTTTGGAGACTCTAGCTTCTCCTTGAGCATCATCGACAGGTCCGGCTCCTCATCTCTCACCTTCCACAAGGCTTGACTGACCCTCAGAGCTGAATGCAGTTCGGGTTCTCCATACACCCCTTCTGCACTCTCTGGCAGGGGGGTCGGAACGATGGGACGGTCGTTCTTCTTCCCTCTTTTGCTGTGGATGGTCAGAGCACCACTGGACTGTGCAGCAATGTTCCTAATTTCCTGGCTTAGACTTGGAGCTATGGGGATGTTCCTCATCTCTCTGTTTTCCAGAACAGGTTTCTCTTTGGGGTTTTTCCTGCGTGCACCGCTAGGATCAAGGCCATCGCTAGATTTTACGTAGATGTGCCGTTCTCCCCCAACTACTTTCTTCTGCATTTCTTGAATGATGGAAGTACCTGCTTTATCGTTTTCTTCTATATCAAACTGCCTAATTATACCACAGATCCTGAAAGCATCAAACAAGAGTAAATTACTTGTTATTTCATTGATATCTGGATAGTCCTACATATCAAATATGTATTTCCTATCCATGAGAAAATATATTCATTCTTGCAAGACTGATGGAGTATATAAAAGACTTAAAACAAGACTTCAGTACAATTCAAACCCTGAACAAGACTGAGCTTAATTAAATGCTAGAGCCAATAGAGTGCCAATCAATGTTGAGACTGTCAATTAACACAAGGTCAGCAGCATGTATGGGGAATAATATTCTAATGATAATTTCAAGAGAATATCAACACAACTGTAACTTCTTAAAGAACCCAAGTAGAAATTATACAAACAAATCAGCATCCTCTACTTAAAAATCTCCATATAAATACAAACCCAGTACAAAACTACCCACAGAAAAGAACAATAAGCTATGACATTTAAAGTGAGGCTAAACATATCATCAAACAATGAAACCAGTTTCATTGTCTGAGGAGATTTAGTTTCTCCCCAAATGGCAAGATGTTTTGTTTCTTATTACCTGTTTCACTTCACAAAGTCATGGTTTATATTTAAGTATTAAGTATTTATATTTAAGTATTAAGTATTTATATTTAAGTATTAAGTATTTATATTTAAGTATTAAGTATTAAGTATTTACATTTAAGTATTAAGTATTAAGTATTAAGTATTAGTTAATGAAGTTTCATCGGTATAAAAGCTCTAACTAGCTTCAATTAATGATACTTTAAAATAACAAAATAATCACAAAGGAATGATACTTTAAAACAACAAAATAATCACAAAAGGAAGTACAACACCACCACCGCCACTATCTAAAAAAAATAAACTTACAAAATAATCACAAAGGAATGAGGTATAACACCACCACCTCCACTATTTAAAGAAAATAAACAAAATAATAAAAAGACAAGAACAACAGGAAGATTGTCACGACCCGAGGAGAATAAACTTTATTTTTTATTCTTATTATTTCATCTCTGTCAATTATTTAACTCATTACATACCTTAAATAGAACACACCGTTGTCATTACACAATTATCCCTTTCGTCATTGATCTTTAAAGTCTTAATAAGAAGATTTTGACGGAAGAATCTCGCGAAGATTTTTGAAAATAGGAGATCCATCCGGAAAGTAAACAATAGGGACCCTTGGTATAAAGATATGTTGTAGTAATATTGATCCCCGTAAATAAAGGGAGATAATTAGGACTGATGGTGTAATAAACTTTGGAAATATTATTTAAATGCCGGGGATAGTACTTTTATTGAGAACTTTGGTATTTTTTTGGTATATCATTTTTTTTCACCTTTGCTGCCATGCAAATCAATGATATGGTATATGGTACTAAAAGTCACAAAATTGGTCACTTTACTAATAAATAAGGATCTTTCTTTGCATATATCTTGAAGAAAAGGAAATATTTTACTTGAAAACTCCGCCGCTAAGCATCTACGAGCCTAAATTATCTTTATTTCTTTATAGCAGATTTGATACTAATGGCATCTCTATGATTACAAATAAATAATTATGATTCCCAGATATTATTAAAGTGAAGAAATATACAACCCAAACATTCTTGAACATATAGAACAAAATTTTAAGCCCGTTACCTCTCATGTTTACGTTTGTCAGCGGCGAGTCGGCGAGGTGGACGCGTCCTCGAAGGAAACCTTTAGTTAATCTCTAAATTCTCTTCCAAAATGGAGGGGAAGCGGAAGGCAGATTATATGACCGTGGCTGTACCTACCAAGAAGTCTCGTCATGAGTTGGTGGCTCATTCAGGGGAAAAGGGAACAGTAATACAAAGTGTAAGTTTGGGGGGAAGCATTGGATAGAGTTTTTAAGGTCATTTTCTAGACCTTAATTACATCGTAAAATACTTTCGGAGTTTGGGATCGATGGATTTTTTTATAATTTGTATTGTGTATTTGTAGCGATCCGTAGTCGACGATTGATAAGAAAGATGAGGCAGGTATGCGTTATCCAAGGGAAATGGCCGGGTTGGATTTTGCAGTATTTATGTATATTTTTTTTACCAACATAAGAGGGAAACCGGTACCCCCCCCCCCCCCCCCTGGATTGGCAAGATAAAAGCCCAGACAGTTCTGAGTGGTTGAGATCACTACCCACCTGAGGCTCTTGTGGTTGGCATTCCTCATGGTTTGCTGAGTCCTTAGTAGTTGTGCAAATTACATGAGTTTCCAGCCATTCATAATGTGTATGTTTACTGATTCTGCAGACAATTACAGGCGTATTTGCCAAGTAGATATTGAGAGGAGTCCATTTCTTCTAAATTTGATGGGTTTGAAAATGTGAGCTCATCTGAGAAATTTACCAGAATTTTTAATTTTTATTACTGGTGCATTATATTGCAATTATTATCCTTATTTATATGATAATTATCATTATCATGATCATTGTCATAATCTTATCTTTATATTTCTCTGATTACCAAAGTGATGTCTCAAATAGCTTGTCTCTTTTAAACAAGACTTTTATTTTCATATCTTCAGAATTGCATAGTCCTTTTCACTGTCTACTTTCAAGATTAGAATTACTTGATATTTTTATTTATTTATCCCACCAAACTAATTTAGTAATGGTTACCATTTTTTTTACTTTTATATGTTAACTGGTTAAACATTAGGGAACAGCTTTATCTTAAAAGATTGTTTATATATATTTATATAGGAAAGATGGCAGACCTTTTTTCTATTTGTTTGGTGGTTCTTGCTTTTCTCACATCTTGAGATATATGTAATCTATATAGCATTATTATACTCTGGTATGTATGATACAGGGTAAATGATGGCAAAGGTAATGTTACTGGCTAATTTCCCCTTTATCTTAATACAGAGTTTTGAGATATACACATTATAACCATTAATTTTCCTATCCTGTTAGGAATAACTATTTGTCTGGATTAATTTATATTATGTAGACTATGCTGTTGCAGTTTGATTTGTTATATTCCCAAAACACTGTTCTGTTCAAAGCTAAAGATTTTGTTGCAAAAGAAAGAGAGCCTTATTACAATTCTACATCCTGTGTTGGCAGTCATGTGGTGTATTAATTATTATTGTGTCTCATTTGAAACTATTCAATAAGAATATCAAATTAGGATTTGCCTAAGAGAGGGAAAAGTCATTGACAGCACTTGTATCAATAATTCCAAGCAAAGAACTTCAAATGTAACTTATTTGAAACATATTTTCAGGCATATGATATTTGTTAATTCTGCTTAATCTTAGTGCTGGGATGGAATGACCTACATGCCATGTCATTGTGATTTTATTCTACTAATTATATTTTACTAATTATGTTTGCACCTAGATGGCTCAATATGTACTTAGTTATCAAGATGTCAGTTACTCTTCTGACCTATCACACTTGGTTATACTTTTCCATGATTTATGGAAAAATAATTATTTTTTAAATCTTTTACTTCTGTTAGTATTTTAATACATTATAATAGTGATTATAATATTGATATTAATGAAACAGTTTATTGGAAAATTCAAGGGATGCAAAAATCTGGTGAGGTCATGTTGGGCTTATTAATTGACTCCTTGGTGGCTGAGCACTTGTGAAGCCAGTTTTTTGTGACAAAATTCACAAGAAACTACAATGGAAAGTACTTGTTTCCCCTGTACAAAGAATTAGTATAAATATGCCAGTTAGGGATAAAAGCAATCAGATCCTAATGCAAATTGCATTCTACAGGGCCCACCTAGAACCAGTGGCTTGATGGCACCCATCATGCAGCTCTCAGGCCACCAGGGAGACATCCTTTGCGGCAAGTTCCACCCTGAAGGAGAAGTTCTGGTCACAGCAGGCATGGATAGACAGATCTGTAAGTGTCTGAGGTTGGATTTACACCTGGATATTGCAATTGGAAAAGTTTTGTTATTGATTTTGATGGGTTTGTGTTGGGATCTTGCTATGATCAATAAATCAGATTGTTTCTTTATTATTTTATAAGAATGAAGTAGTGCAAACTTCAAATACTTTAAAGTTAATTTTTCTTTTACAAAATCCCAAAATCCCAAAAATTACTATTTGTATTTAACTAAAGTAAAATACATCTAAATCTCACTGACATGAACCCAGTAAGTGAAAAAAAAATTGACCATGATATAAAGTTGCACATGCAGTACTTGTAAAACATTATATTATTTCCCATTCTTCTTTGTATATCTTTTACTCACATTTGCTCTCTCCTTCAGTATTCTGGAATGTGTATGGCGAGTGTGACAACTTTGCCATGCTGATGGGCCACACCAACGCCATCACAGACATGCACTTCTCAACGGATGGTAGTGCACTCTACACAGCCTCTGCAGACAAGACTGTCATGTGCTGGGACACTACCAGTGGCACCAGGGTTAAGAAGCTTAAGGGTATGTTACAGAAGATAGAGATGGAGGATGGGTGGAGATGGGTGGAAGGATGTGTGAGTAAGGATTAGCATGTTCCATGAGAAAAGGGGAGAAGTGTGGGGATGGAGTAGGGGAGACACAGATAGGGGAAATGTGGGATGGATAGAAAAGAGGAGGAGGTGGTGGGGTATGGGGGTAGGTGGAGTACTGGAATAGGATGTAGAAGATGAAGAGAGTAGTAGATGGAAGGGAAGGGGGAGATGAAGAGGAAAGAAGAATAAGGGGGGTATGTGAGGAAAGGGATGGGTGTGTGGATGGAGGCAGATGGGTTGAATGCAAAATTCAAGACATTACATAGTTTAGTTATGATGGATTTGGTCAATATAAGTACTCTCTGTTATGCTTAATTGATTAATAATATTTTCTATTCTTATCTGCAGGTATTATTACTATTACCATTATTATATTTTCCTTTAACCCTTAGCTCTGTTACAGTGGGATTTCTCTTCACTATACAGAGCCACATACCAGGCATTATTCACAATCAGTCACTTGAATAAAAAAAATGAAGCATGGAGAGCATACATTTATCCTGCTCTCTACATTTTGGCTGCCACATGGAGTTAAAAAAGGACTAAGCCTTCTTTTGAATAGCTGTATCTTGTGACTTGTCAGGGCCAAGTAAGGGGACAAGTATATAATGCACAACTTAGAGCAGCCTTGACCATGTGCAGTATGGATATGTGCCTTCTGACAATTGGGCATGGTGTGCCATGACATGATAAGATGTCATTTAGTGGCTTAAAAACATACTGTCTTAGGAGTAGATGCAGATATGACAGATCAGCATACTAAAAAATCACTTTCAGTTGACTTTAGCGTGCACTAACTATAAATTTTATTTTTGGAATCTGTATCATGACACCTGAAAATTCTGTAATTTTCTAGCTTCTAAAGGGCATATTGGTTCAATTTGCCTTGCATCATTTGATTGTACCTAAATATAGTAAGCATGTCTTTTTATGGGTTAAGTCAAATATGAAAAAATAAATATACAACCCCTATTTAAATACTCTCCATTCCCAGGACACAGCAGCTTCGTGAATTGTGTCCACAGCGCACGAAGAGGCCCAAGTTTAGTGGTGAGTGGAGGTGATGACTGCACGGTGCTCATCTGGGACGTCCGGAAGAAGAGACCGGCAACGACGCTACAGAATACGTTCCAGGTGAGGGATTGGAAATGAGTGTGATCAGTTTTAAGGATGTAAGAAAGGTGTGTACGTAAAGTTAATTTTTTCTTTTACAAAATCCCAAAATACCCAAAAATACTATTTGTATTAACTAAATGAAATACATCTAAATTCTACTGAACATGACCCAGTAAAGTGAAAAAAAAATTAAACCATGACATAAAAGGGCCACATTGCAGTACAGTACTTGTAAAAATTTGATGTTTTTCCCATTCTTCTTTGTATATCTTTGCTCACATTTGCTCTCTCCTTCAGTTATTCTGGAAGGGTATGGCGAGTGTGACAACTTTGCCATGCTGATGGGCCACACCAACGCCATCACAGACATGCACTTCTCAACGGATGGTAGTGCACTCTACACAGCCTCTGCAGACAAGACCGTCATGTGCTGGGACACTACCAGTGGCACCAGGGTTAAGAAGCTTAAGGGTATGTTACAGGAGATAGAGATGGAGGATGGGTGGAGATGGGTGGAAGGGTGTGTGAGTAAGGATTAGCATGTTGCATGAGAAAACGGGAGAAGTGTGGGGATGGAGTAGGGGAGACACAGATAGGGGAAATGTGGGATGGATAGAAAAGAGGAGGAGGTGGTGGGGTATGGGGGTAGGTGGAGTACTGGAATAGGATGTAGAAGATGAAGAGAGTAGTAGATGGAAGGGAAGGGGGAGATGAAGTGGTATGGAAAGAGGAAAGAAGAATAAGGGGGGTATATGAAGAAAGGGATGGGTGTGTGGATGGAGGCAGATGGGTTGAATGCAAAATTCAAGACATTACATAGTTTAGTTATGATGGATTTGGTCAATATAAGTACTCTCTGTTATGCTTAATTGATTAATAATATTTTCTATTCTTATCTGCAGGTATTATTACTAATACCATTATTATAATTTCCCTTAACCCTTAGCTCTGTTACAATGGGATTTCCCTGCATTATACAGAGCCACATACCAGGCATTATTCACAATCAGTCACTTGAATAAAAAAATGAGCACAGCATTGGATTAATAAAACGAAACTCATTGGGCATCCTTAGTGGCATCAGTTTCTTTATTTTAATGCTTTGTAGCTTTTCTTTATTTTGTATGGTGAATTTGTATTGTTAATGTTTAAGGGCAACATTTTATGAGAGAAATAGATAATTGTTAATGAATTCTACTAATTATGAAAACATTTCAATGAAATGCTTATGGAAGTAATACCATAATAAGCACTGTATTCTTTTGTGATACATTCCAGAAAAATGTTTTGTTTTGTGAAATATCTCTATATATAGAAGGCTCCACAAGTGCACAGCCACCAAGGAGTTGGTTAGACCTGACCTCGCCTGATTTCACTTTTTATTTTTACCTATTTATTTTTTTTCTGACACTATCAATATCATAATTGTTATTATTATCAACATTGTAATTACCATAATATTATTGATATTACTAATGGAATTATAAGATAAAAGAAAATGTTCCAAAAATCAAGGGAAATGGTAAAAAGGTGAGAAAGGTAGTATTAGTAATTGGCTCATTGGTGACTGAGTACTTGTAGAGCCATCCATCTGTAAAGCCAATTAACCCAATGCTACCGGGCATGGTATGTACATGCCATGCCCACTCTGAGTTTACTTTATTGATTGTTTTTACACACAGATGGATACACTTGTACTAAGTCACCAATGAGTAAGTCACGAGCACTACTTGTCTCGCCTGTTTACCCTTTTACTTGATTTTTAGAAAATATTTTACGTTATCTTACATTGCTGTTTCTAATGTCTATAACATTATAGTAATTATAATGTCTATAATAGAAATAACAACATTGATATTTGTAGCATTAGTAAAAAAAAGTGTTTTTCCCGCCCGTTCAAGGAAAGCGGAAATCAAGTAAAGTCACAAGGTATACTAATTAACTCCTTTGTTGCTAAGCACTTGCAAAGCCATCTATGTGCAGAGACATTTCACAAAAGAATAAAAAATGAGCACAGCATTGGATTAATAAACTAAACTCAGTGGGAAAATGAGCACAGCATTGGATTAATAAACTAAACTCATTGGGCATCCTTAGTGGCATCAGGTTAAGAACTTTAGCCAGTCTGTTTAGCATAGTTGTGGAATATCTTATGATGTATGATAGTAGTGGTTCCCAAACTTTTTACTCTGTTAGCGGTTAAATCTCTGATATATCTTCAACCTCCTGACATCATCCATTCCATTTATAATTTTTATAGGTACATATTTTTAGGCTAAGAAAAGAAAAAATCAGTAATCTTATTTTATTAACTCATTTGTAATAGAATATTCCTTGAAGACATGGCTCCATTGAATATTCATAATATGAGCACTGAGAAACTCCTACCAAATTGGTAATAATAATTTTTCCTCCCAAGGCTATGTACTGCCCTGCCAATCCTCCATAACTCCCTGGAAAGTTATTACTCACTTGCCGGGAACCACTGTACTGTAGTGTGATATAACAGAGATAATGGATAGGTATATCTATAAAGAGAACAGGTATATTCATATTCATTTTCTGTCAACTTCATTGTTTCTAATGAACTTGATGCATTTCCAGGTCACAGCAGTTACGTTCAATGACACAGCAGAACAAGTAATTTCTGGTGGTATTGATAATGACATGAAGGTAAGGAATATAACCAAAGTTTGTTTTGTGAGACATTTATTTGTATATCTATTTATTTGATTTTACAATGATTTACACATTAAAGTCACCCATTAATGTTTTAGATTTGTATGCATATTTACTTATTTATACCTTAGTGTTTGTGTCTACCAGTCACTATAAGACACCTCAAAACGGAAAAATTTTGGTACCTGCTAATCTCCCATCCCCTCCTGGATGATATAGTTTGTCAGTATCCTCCCTACCTGTCTGTATTGTTGTTGGATATCAGAACCAGTTGCCTGTCTATGGTCTGTGCTGGGACAAGTTATTTTTTTTGAGTGAGGGCTAGATGAGACTTTCAGGAGCAATCCCTGGACCCGACTAATGACGTACAAGAATTTGATTGAAAACTACGAAGCATATGCAAGAATTTTAATGAAAAACTTGCAAATTCTATACAAAAAAAATATTGAAAAATGTGAATATAATATACAACAATTTTTGAAAAAGAAAATAAATTATAAGAAAAAAAGATGCAACTCACATGCAAAAATTTTATCGAAAAAAACATGCAAATCAATGAGGCAGGTGGTGGTGCTTGCCATGAATGAAATGATTCAAGATCTGGCTTTATGGATGTGGTAGATAACACAAAAATGTTATTGAGAGAGTGATTAGAGAGCTGCGTACTTTATTCTGTCAAGTGCTGCCAATGTACAGAGAAGCAGTAAAAGTGGCACTAATACTTTTGATGATTATAATGGGTATTATCACATATTAGTATAATTTAATGTTACTTAGCACAAATATAGTTGTTACATATGTATTAGTAATGTGATTTTTAGATTTGCTTAGAAAAGATCTTGCTTTAAAATATAATTTAGCTATGCAGATACATAAAATAATTTTAAAGTATTTAAGAAAAAAATACGAGATATAAGAGATAAAAGATAATAAAAATATAAAACAAAGAAATAGAAGGTAAAGACTCTCTTTAATCAAAAGAATAAAAGAAAAATTAAAGAGGGAATACATTTTTTGGTAAATGAACAGAAAGACAGCATAAAGTAGCCTAAGAACAAAAAAGTTACCTCATTTTGACATGACAGGAAAAGAAAAAGATTTTATAAGTACAAATGAAAATTGATGACACAACCTTCACCTTCCAGGTATGGGATCTACGCAAGAATGGCTTGCTGTATCGGATGCGTGGCCACAACGACACAGTGACAGGCCTGAGCCTCTCCCCTGATGGCTCCTATGTGCTCTCTAATGCTATGGACAACACTGTCAGGATCTGGGACGTGCGGCCCTTCGCCCCCCAGGAGCGCTGTGTCAAGATCTTCCAGGGCCACCAGCACAATTTCGAGAATGTAGGTATTGGGGTGGGTGAGATGGTAGATGATAGCAGTTAAGTGGTTTTGTCAGTAATAAAAATGTACAAGTAGTAATAGTGATGTTAATCATGATATTATTAACAGCAACAGTGATAATTATAATGATGTAAATAATAGTGATAATGAAAATGATAGGAATAATGGTGATAATGATAATGATTGTGGTAATAGTAATAATAATAGCATTATGATAGTAGATACCAATATGGATTTTGACTCTACTCCACCCCTCTCCCTAGATTCTGCTGCGATGTGCCTGGTCCCCTGATGGGCGCCGGGTGGCTGCAGGCTCCTCAGACCGCCATGCCTACGTCTGGGACACCACTTCAAGGCACATCCTCTACAAACTACCTGGACATAATGGCTCTGTCAACACGGTCGAGTTCCATCCGAAGGAGCCCATAAGTGAGTTCTTAAGATGTACAGTGTTGGGTTCTGTTTGGTAGGTGGGGTTTGGATGGGTGGGGAAGGGAAAGGAAGATGAGAATGAGAAGGAGAAGGAGAAGGAGAAGGAGAAGAAGGGGTCTAACAGAGGAAGAGGTTGAAGAAGTTGAAGTTGGGGAGAGGGAGAGGGAGAGGGAGAGGGAGAGGGAGAGGGAGAGGGAGAGGGAGAGGGAGAGGGAGAGGGAGAGGGAGAGGGAAAGGGAGAGGGAGAGGGGGAGGGGGAGGGGGGAGGGGGAGGGGAGGGAGAGGGAGAGGGAGAGGTGGTGGGGGAAGTTGAGGAAGAGTGAGTGAGTGCATACACACACAGCTACAGCACTCACAGCCACAACCTAACCTAACCAGTTGCAACCACACATAAGCAACTTGCTTACATGCACACCCACACCCATACGCATGTGCCCCCCCCCCCCCCCCCCCACACACACACACACACACATATACACATGCTCTCACACATGCACTCACACATTCACACTCACATACAGACACACACACAGGGACACACACACACAGGGAGATGCACAGACAGATACAAACAGGACCAGACAGGCAGATACACCCACAGACAGACAGACAGACAAAATCAGGGACAAACAGAATGGCATACCCATCCCAGATACATGTATATATAATTATAATGTTCATAAAGTAAGCCTAAACAATTTCATGAGCTTTTTATATACCTTCTAGGGAATCTGATGATAATTGATTGACAGACTCTCATTCAGCTAACTTTTTTATATTTTTGATATTTTTTATTCTTTTTTATAGTTGTTGCACGTAGATTAATATTATCTTCTCTTTAGTCTTATCTGAAATGCATTTAGGTTTTCAATATTTTTTACACATGACTGTGACTGGTTATGCTAACAATGGTAAGATAATCTAAAATATGTTTTTTGTTTTTCAGTTATGTCTGTGTCCAATGATAAGCAGATCTACCTCGGAGAAATAGAGTAAGTTTGTAGAAGAGGAATAAAAGGAATTTAGTTGTCAAGAATGGACATCTGTTGTGATTTTTATTATTTTTTATTGATATAGTTTTGTTTATGATTACAACTGTTATAATGCTCCTCATAGAATGGTTTGAATGTTCGCTCGTATGGTTTCCCCTAAGATTGAAAAAAGAAAGTAATTTTGATGTATATTCATTTTTATTTTTTCTCCATTTTGTCCCTATTTTTTCTTCGCATTTTTCTCTCTCATTTTAAAAGGTTTACTTGCAAACAAGACAGAATGTTGGTACAAAGAATAGCTATCATTTCCTTCACTATTGCAATATTTGTTGCAAATTGCATGAAAGACTACAAAAGTTTGACATGATCACTTATGTAATTATAATTGACTGAAATCATTCATATATTGTGCTTAGTTATTTCATTTATTTCTGTGAATTTTTTTTAAAAGGAGTAGTGTCGCAGGTTTATTTTGAAGATAATTCTTTGTCAATATTTCTATTTAGGTAAGATAAAACCATTATAAAATCTATGACAAATAAAAAAATGTTATTAAAAAATTGTATTTCCTTTTCAAATAGTTGATTTCATCAAACTGAAAAATGCTTTTTTTTATTTTAGGATAAATAAAAGTCTTCATAGTCTAAAGAACAACTGTTCTTAGCATATGCATAGGTAAATGGCAGCAAGCATATATTAAACCAAGATTGAACATGAACTGAATGTTAAAAGGAAACGTAATTGATAATACTAGTCGCCTACTGATATTTTCAACTATTTCAGTAAAGGAATAAACTGAAGCCCCAGCACTCTGGAGTGTAAAAAGCGTCTGGAAGGCTAATTGCTGTGTTCTTTTAGACTGACAAAATAAGAAAAATGCATTTGTATATTATTACTCTTGCTTTCTTTCACTTTTTGCAACAGGTGAAATATTTAGTTTAAAGAGTAACCACTAAACTTGTGCACAACTTTGCATTTTTTCATTGCTAAGATACTACTTTTTCAAAAGCAACTTGTTGCAAAAAAAAATTCTATCTAAAAACATAGTCTTGAAGCATTTTTTTACTGAAATATGCGTCGTCTGCTAATTTACACATTACAATACTGTTCGCAGTGCCATCTCTTGGAATTAGTTGCGATGATGTCGTGAGTTGTGTTAGTGTCAGTGTTGTTAATGGTGTGTTCATCATCCAGTGTTGATAACTTTTCAAGTTCGTCTTTTGACGGTAGTCTGGACTCTATAAACATTTCCGATAACAGTGAAGATGTATGGCATGTTTGGCAAGACGGTGTTGTGCTTGGTTACCAATTTGAGCCCCAATATTTGGCTGAAGAGGAGCTCTTGAAGTCCGCGGCATTTCAGCCACCAGAGAACTATTGGTTGGAACAGTGAATGGACAATACTGACAGGGTGCACTGCATGCTTCCAGTGTGACTGGCCATATCAATTAGATATCAGTGTGTCAGGGTCCTGATCCTGTAAAATGTCATCATGCCATGTAAGCTATGGCCATGAACATAATTTAATTAATACAGCTGGGGTTAGTGGAGATGATTGGCGATTCCTTTGCAGGTTTTCGAAGTCGATTGTACCAAAGAAAATGGGGCCTAGTCCAATAGGCCTGTGATCTGGCTGGCCTGGTCCTAACTGTTAGCAAATTTCTATGTTAAGATACATCTTAACTGTGGTTTTGATTTTTACAGGTGCAAGTGTGACAGATGTGAGTTATGTGAAACTCCAGAGGAAAACATGTGTTGCACAGAAGAGATGCCAATACAGGAAAAAATTAATGAGAACAACAACAATTTTGGGGGAAACATTAACCCATTGCCGCTGGGGATGGCATGTACGTACATGCCATGCCCACTGTGAGTCGACTTGTTCGATTGTTTTTACACATAGATGGCTACACTTGTACTAAGTATCCAATGAACCAATTACGAGTACTGCCTGTCTCACCCATTCACCCTTTTCATCAATTTACGAAAATATTTAACATTATCCTAATTTGCTGTTAAAAATAACACCATCTATATTTATAACACGAGTAAGAATACGTTTTTTCCCGCCAATTCAAGGAAAGGTGAAATCAGGACTAGGAGAGCCATCTATGGACAGAGATATTTCACAAAAATATAAGAAATGAGTACTGCATTTACCCCATTTTTTGTTCATTTTCCCCGGCAGCAATGGGTTAAGTGCATTACACAGCATCCAGGTTTCATGTCTAACTGTCTGGATGTCTGGGTTCTGCAGAATGTTTATGATCATTTCAAAGTGCAACATAAACACAGATTTGAAGGAGAAACCAATGAATGAGTGTGTTAAATTAAATAATTAAATATATTTTTACTGATACACTATTAATAATATGGATCTCTATCCATATTTGGTGGACAATAGGACATTTGCATACAAAATATTACACAAAAGGTTCTCATCCATGCATTCACGGCGATGACAAAGAAAATGAACACAACTCATGACGTCATTCCCGGGTTGGTGGCGCTACTGGTAACATTAGAGTTAAAAGCTGTAGCAGACGATGTTGAGGGCCCAGAATTTGTGCATTCAAAAGGCTATAAATATAAAACACGTTTTTTTTTTTATTCATTTTTAAAAAATCTTATGCATATTTGGAGGTACAAGAACAAATTCTGCGATGAATATTATACATTTAATTCACATGGCTGTTACTTTTTAAGAGAGTAGTTAGTGTACTGTCTTGTTATGTAGAAAACATTTTCTTATTTGTTATCATGATATAGAAATGGAGAAACCAAATATCCTCTTTTACTCATCCATTTCAAGTGCTGATATTATTTGCCAATGATATTTGAAGGCATTTTTAAAATTTTGTGATTGTGAGCCAGACTAAGCTTTTTTTTTTTTTTGCTAGTATATTCACCTTTGCTCAAGAAATATATTTTTTTATAATGCACATTCCCTCTTTGATATTCCACTCCTCAAATATGTAGTGTGATTTAACCTTCAAGTGAACTGTATCCTTCATCCATTTGAGGGCAATTGAATTTAATGTTAGGG